GCTAAGGAAACTGTAACTCAGAAAGGTTAAGTGACTTTCCCAAAGTCACTAAGTGACAGATTTCAATTTCCTCATCTATAAAATAAGAACGCAGGACTAACTGATCTTTAAAAGATCCCTGCTGACTCAAAATCCTATGATCCCAGTGTTACTATTAAAACTCCTTTTTCACACATGAAGAAAGTTGCATTCTCTTCCTCCAGTCAATACCACTGCCTTTTTTCTACAGATAAACTTTGATGTAAAAATGAAACATTCAGGATCTTAGGCCTGGAGTTACAAGGGACCTCAGAATTCAACTTGTCCAGCCTCCTCATTTTACACATGTGGAAACCAAGGCTCATGGAAGTTAAGTAATTTTCCCAAAGTCACACAGCATCAGAGTTAGGATTTGAACCCAGGCTTTCTGATTCCAGAGCTAGTGTTTTCCAATCTTCCAGTGAACACTCAAGTCTGGCACAAAGATCCTTGCTGACCCACTGCAACATCATTAACCAAGAAGAGCATCCAAAAAAAAACAAAACCAAACCCCACACATGCTTTACTCTGATGAGTCCACTAAGCCAGTCTGGGATGCTGAATCCATCTCTTACTGTAGCAAGTTTCATGTGAGAACCCGTAAAGCCATCTAGAGGTTGATAACATCACAGAATCTTGAACTGAAGCTATTCATTGGCTTTGCTTCTTCTTCTTCCCTCTCATCCACCCCTTCCCCTTCTTCTACCTCTTCCTTCTCCCCCCTCTGCTTCTTCTTCCTTCCCCTTCCTCTTCCTGCTTCTTCCTTTTCTGTTTCTCTCCACTGTTTCCCACCCCCATCTTTTTCCTTTTTTTTTCCATCTATAATAGGAACACGGTACTTCAAGGGTTATTCTGATACATACTGCCCAGTTGTTAGAAGTCGCATCAAAATCATAGATAGCCTGGGCTTCCCCTACAAATAACTGGCATTCTTTCCCTAACAGGGCAACAAGAATACTGTTTTCTGACAGATAGAAATGAGTTAGAAGTGGTATGTTTATCTTTGGCTTGGTCCCTAGGATAAACAGTGGTAATATTTGCTCAAAAGTTTTCTATCCAGACCTCTAAAACAGCTTTCACACTTTCTCCATCAGAGTTTTTTTTTTAACTTAAGAATGCTTTTGAACTCTGAGCTCAGACTCATCCAGAAAATGTGCTCAGCACTCTCTCACATACACATACACATACACATACACATACACACACACATGCACACACATAACCCTTGGGTCATCTGTTAAATGATCCGATAAAATATTTCAGCAGATGCTGGCAGATGGATTAATGTAGTGATCAGAATTCCTTCACCAAAGACAAATTGCTGGACAGCTGTGCATTAAAACCATGGCATGCTTCCCAACAACGATGATACAGAGATGAGGTGACCTGCTTTTCTATTTTGAAGTTGACTGAATTTACTTCAGAGAGGGGAGTCTTTTTTTCTCTTTCTCCTGCGGACCAAGAAAAATACCCTTTCAATAGTCATTTTTTCTTTCTTGTTTGTTTGGCACAACAGGGAAAGATTTAAGCAATAACAAGAAAGGCTTCAGACCTTATGATATATAACTGTGCTCATATTGACCTGTCATTATGTTGTTCTGGTGGGTAGAATTTATAACAGGAATCCTAGAAATATGTTTGGGTAGAATTTATAATGAATTCTAGAAATATATTTGGGGAAAAATGATGAAATGATAAACATTAAGGAGAGCATGAAAATGCAATCCTGGAAACAAAAGTTTTGTTTTGCTTTTTAAACCTAAATTGAACTCATTATCTTTTTCCCCAAACCCTCTACTCTTTCTACCTTTCCTTTTTTCTGGTGAAGGTACCACCATCCTTCCCGTCTCCTGAGTTTGTAAATCTGGTGTTATCCTCAACTCTTCTATCTTCCTCACCTCACATAACCGATCAGTCACCAAATCTTGCTGTTTCTACTTTTACATCTCTCACAACTAACCCCTTCTCTCTATTCACAAAGCTACCATCTTAATTCAAGCCTTCATAGCCTCTCTCCTCAATTATTATAACAGCTTCCTAACTTGTCTTCCTGCCTCAAGTTTCTCACCACTCTAGATCACCCTTCACACTGCAGACAAAGTAATTTCTTTCAATGAAGATCTGCCCATGTCACACCCTTACTCAATTAACTCGAAAGGCTCCCTATTGCCTCTAGGCAATAAACCCGCCACAAGCTGACCCTAACCCATATTTCCAGCATCGATGGCCATTACTCCTCCCATATCCTGTGATCCAGTCAAACTGGCCTACCTTCTGTTCCTCACACACACCAAACTCCATCTCCCCATCTCTGTGCCTTTGTACTGTCCTTTCTCTATTCTTGGAATGCCCTTGCTGCTCACCTTTGCTTCAGAGAATCCCTCTCTTCCTTTAAGATGATATTCACGTCACATAAAGCCCTTCCTGATCCTCCGCATTCTCCAACTGTTAGTGCCTTCCTTCCCAAATTATCTTGTATTTAATGGTTCTGAATTTATTTAAATTATTCTCCTTATATTTATTATGCATGTACATATATACATACTTAACTACCCCAATAGAATGAGTAAAGAATAGGAATTGTTTTATTCTTTCAACTTGTGTCTCCAGTACCTAGCACAGTGCCTGGCACATAGTAAATATTCAATAAATTGACTGATATTTAAGATTTTAAACAGAATCAATCAAAAAAAGAATTTATTAAGTACCTACTACATGGAAAGCACTGTACCAGACTCTGGGGACACAAATCCAAAATTAAGAAAGTCCCTGCTTTCAAAGAGCTTACATTCTAATAGAAAAAAATGTTTTCTTCAAATTTTCTAATAAAAAATATTGTTTCCTTCAAATTTAGCCACTTATCTATCTCAATAAATGTTATTTAATGAAATTTCACTTTGTCATCATGATCTAGTTCAGTTCAACACTGCAAGTAGCTGGTAAAAGAATACGTTTTCCTAAAATTATACAAAGAAATCTTCTCCTGGTTCACATTGGCGGAGTATGGAAAAAATGGAGTAATTCCCTGTGGTAATGCTTCAGTCCAGCTTTCTGAGAACCAAAGAGATCATTCAAACTGGGAGTTTACTCGTGAGAAACTTGATCTAATTGCATTTCTTTTCTGTGAATGTAGAAGCTTGTCATGCTATTATCACAGGCAGCTACAGAGACTGACAAGTGGCTGAAACCAGGCTTCCCTCTGGGAACGGACATAGAGAACATCTCTGTACCCAATCACTGAGTTTACAATTCCTAATGACATCAGAATCACACCTTGGTCAGTAATGGGATGGCCCAGATAGAGAATGGTCAAGATAGAACCAATGAATTAATGAAAGAAAAAGCATATGCCAAGGACTGTGCTAAACACTGATCGGATCCCTAATACAAAAGAGATGACAGTGCCTGTCCACAAGAGGCTCACATTCCACTAGGGGAGAGAATACATTTAGGGAAGCAGGTGACAAGGAGAAGCATTTCAGACAGGAAAATCACAGGGATGGTAAGTGTAGTCAGAGAGAAAGAGATTGACATCAGTTCCAAGAGCAATTACAGAATGGGTTTCTGATCTGGGTGGCATGGTGGCCAGTAAAGAGATGCTAATGCAATTCCAAAGGACTCATGATGAAAAATGCTTTTCACTTCATGAGAAAAAACCGATGGATTCTGAGTTCAAGATTGAAGCATACTGGTTTCACTTTTTTTATGTTTCTTTTTTTCTGTATGTTTTCTTTTGCAACATAGCTAATATAGAAATGTGTTTTCCATGACTTAACATGTATCATTAATATCATATTGCTTGCTTTGTCAAGGACAAGCAGGAAGGAGGGAGTGAAATTGGAACTCAAAATTTAAAAAAAAAAGAATGTTAAAGTTTAATATAATTGGGAAATATTTAACAAAATAAATAACAATATAATAAACCTAAAAAAGAAAAAAAAGGAAATGGTTAGGGAGTGAACTGAAGCAAGCCACTGAGGCCACCTCCAATGAGGAGAATGAAGCCCCATGGCAGGTGCTCTGGGGATGAAAAAGCTAAGCCTTTCAGGGCTTGGTTTCTATCCTAGGCAGCAAGGAATGATCCTAGAAATCATCACTAATATGTTAGATGACAGAAATAAGGATCCAAAAACACTTGACAGAATAGAACACATCTTAAGTTGCTTAAGTGCACCTACAACTCATGGTGTATGTATGGTATTACAAAAGTAAATCAGTGAGTCTCTCCCACTAGTAATCATGGAATGTTGGGCCTGGAGTCAGAACGACTCAGCTTCCTGAGTTCAAATCTGGCTTCAGACACTTACTAGCTGTGTGACCCTGGGCAAGTCACTTACCTCTGTTTGCCTCAGTTTCCTCATCTATCAAATGAGCTAGAGAAGGAAATAGCAAACCACTCCAGGATCTTTGTCAAGAAAAATCCAAATGGGGTCACAGAATCAGACACAACTGAAAATGACTGAACAACAACAAAACGACAAATTATCAATGGAAACTTCAATACTTGAGCACTCCCAGGAGCCATCAATCGATATATCAAGCCCTTTCTACATGTCAAGCACTGTATCAGGTGCTAAGGATACAAATGCAAAAGCCCTTAGGGAGCGTATATTCTATTTGGAGACAATAACATTTTCCTTTCACAGAAAAATATGTGGCATATATCTTTATAGGCAAATATATAGTGATTAGAGAGTGGGGTGGAGAACAATAATATGAGAGGGGAAGTGTAGTACAGTGGATACAGAAATAGATCTAGAGGCAGATATCTTGGGTTCAAATCCCAGTTCTGCCATTTACTATTAACTATATGACCTGGGATGACCTTGTGTGACCTTGATTAATCTTTCTGGGCCTCAGTTTTCTCATCTGTTAAATGAAAGAAGTGTTCTGGATGATCTCAAAATTTCCTTCTGGTTTGAAATCTATGATCCTACAATCCTGTGAAATGAGCAAATCAGGAAAAGCCTCTTGATGAGAGGATGGGACGAAAACAGCCTGGAAGAGAGTTAAAGGTTCCAAGAGGTAGAGGTGAGGTACCCGAAGGTACGGAGGTGAGAGATGGACCCATGTGCATGGAAGTGTGACGTATGAAAAGGAAGAGTTAAATAGTTGTCTGGACCACGGAATATATCAGAGGAAGTCATGTGTAAAGAAAGAAAGATGGCGTACTGTGAAATCACCATGTGGCAATTCCTACAAATAATATAGGTTGAAGTTCAACCAATCAACAGGCATTTATTAAACAACTTCTGTATGCTAAACAGTGTGTTGTGCACCGAGGGATACAAAATACAAAGAATGAAACAATCCCTTCCTCTAAGGAACTTATAATGTGGGAGGGGGAATAAGTATGTAAATAAGTACAAATAGAACAAATACAAGCAAAATAAATATAAAGAACTACAAAGGAATTGAATAAAAGGTAGTTGGGAAGGGAAGACACTAGCAGTTCATAGGATCAGGAAAAGGTTTTATGAAGCAAATGGAGTCTGAGCAGTATCTTCAAAGGAATCATGTGAGGTAGAGAAGTATGACAATGCATTACAAGCATGGGGAATCTAGCACAACAGCACAGAGATGGAACGTGTGATGAACAGAGAGGAGACTAGTTGGCCAGTTCCCTTCCAGGGAAGGGAAGCATGTTCAGTGAAGCTGAAAATATGAGTTGTGACCAAATTGCGAAGAGATGTACAAGATAAACAGAGGAATTCATATTTTATCCTGGAGGCAATAGGGCATTACTAGAATTGATGGATAAGTGGAATGACCCAGGAAGTTCTGTGTTAAGAAAAAATACTTTGTCAGTTGGATAGTGGATAGATCGGAATGGAGAGAAACTTGAGACAGGCAGGTCAATTAGGAAGCTATTGCAATAATCTGGGCTAGAGGTTTTGAGGATGTGAACTAGCTGTGTGAGTGTAAAGAATGGGTCACATGTGGAAGATGTGGAGGTAGATAGTAAGACTTGGCAAGCATTTGGAAAAGTGGGGTAAGAACTAGTGAGGCACCCACCCCTTAGTAGATACTCATCAATGACTAGCTGTGGCTAACAAAATTCATCACATAATGATCAAGCTTCTCAAAATGAACCTAGAAAACCTTATTTAGGTTTGCCCTCGGATGACCCAACACACCACCCAGTCCATAGCCAGGCCCATACTAAAAAGCTTTCTAGCTTGGCAGAAGCTGCCAAGTTGGGTCAGTTTCCAAGAATCCAGTCACCTACTCACCACAGTATGATCCTGGAAAAAGGATGTTGACAAAGTATCAACAAAAATAGAAGGGGAAAAATCAACAATTGAAAGGGCTGGTAATACAGTGGATAGAGTGCCAGGCCTAAAGTCAGGAAGACTCATCTTCATGAGTTCCAATCTGGCCTCACACTTACTAGTTGTGTGACCCTGGGCAAGTCACTTAACCCCATTTGCCTCAGTTTCTCATCTTTAGAATGAACTGGAGAAGGAAATGGCAAACCACTCCAGTATCTTTGCTAAGAAAACCACAAATGGCATCGCGAAGAATTGGACACAACTGAAAGGACTGAACAACAACAAATTTATTGAAAATGCACCATGTACAAAGCATTAACAGATTTTGGAGAAGAAAAAAGGAAATAGATAGCTCAGTCTATTTATTGATCTTGAGGAGTTTAAAATCTAGTTGAATGCAGAACACGCCTTCTTTCGAAGTTTTGAAAGGATAGGTTGTCCCAAAAGTCTTAATGCAATTTTAAGCTCTGATGGCTTAATAAGGAGCCACTAAAACTAATTGAGTAGGGGAGTGGCCCAGTTACATCTGCATTTAAGAAAATTTTCTTTGGCAGCTGTATACTGGATGTAATTGGAGTTTTAAGCTCTACTATGTTTTTTTTTAATTTTTAATTCATTTATTTATTTTTGGTGAGGCAATTGGGGTTAAGTGACTTGCCCAGAGTCACACAGCTAATGAGTGTCATGTGCCTGAGGTCACATTTAAACTCAGGTCCTCCTGACTTCAGGACCGGTGCTCTATCCACTGCACCACCTCACTGCTCCAAGCTCTACTAGTTTTAAACTGCACTAAGACTTTTGGGACGCCCTGTATTTTGTAAACTTTGAACATGAGCCCTTCCTTTTTATTACTGTCATCCTCAGAATAGATGTCTAACAGTAGAATCTCTCAGTCAAAGGGTATGAACATTTCAGTTGCTTTATTTAATGCCTATGTTTATTTAAACATATGCCATAGGTACAACTATCTAAGTCTTACTTACTCCAGTATGCTCTTCCAATGAGATAAAGTGTTTAAAGCAATTTGTCAGTCTTAAAGTAATTTGTACTGGGGGTGAAAGAGGGGAGCAACTAGATCTATGACATCATTGGTTTAGGATGGTACCATTGAAGAAACTCTGTACCAACTGCAACTTAAAGTCTTAGAAATTAACCTGAGGCACAGAAAAGTTAAGTGACTTGCCCAGGATCTCACATACAGTATATGTCGATGGCAGGATTTGAATTCAGGTCTTTCTGACTCCAAGGCTGGCTCTCTATCCATTATGCCATGTTGCCTTTTATTATTTTTTTAGCATTTTTTTAAAATTCTTTTTTTTTAATTTTTAGTTTTCAACATTTACTTCCACCAGATTTTGAGTTCCAAATTTTCACCCCATCTCGCCCCTCCCCCCACCCCAAGATGGCATTCATTCTGAATACCCCTTCCCTTAGTCTGCTTTCCTTGCTATCTCTCCCTGCTTCCCCTTCTATTTTCCTGTAGGGCAGGATAGATTTCTGTACCCCATTTCCTGTATTTCTTATTTCCCAGTTGCATGTGAAAACATTTTTTTTAAACCTGTGTTTTTAAAACTTTGGGTTCCAAATTTTCTCCCTTCCTCCCTCCCCACCCACCCTCATTGAAAAGGCAAGCAACTCAATATAGGCTATACATGTGCAGTTATGCAAAACACTTTCATAGTAGACATGCTGTGAAAAACTAACTCTATTTACCTTAATCCTATCCTGCCCCCCCATTTATTCTATTCTTTCTTTTGACCCTGTCCCTCCTCAGAAGTATTTGCTTCTGATTACCCCCTTTCCCAATCTGCCCTCCTCTCTATCATTCCCCTGCTCTCTTGTCCCCTTCTCTTCCTATTTTCCTGTAGGGTAAGACAGATTTCCACACCCAATTGGGTGTGTATGTTATATCCTCCTTAAGTCAAATCCTATAAGAACAAGATTCACTCATTTCCTCTCACCTTCCCCCGTTTCCCCTCCACTGTAAGAGCCTTTTCTTTTCTGTTCTTTTGTGAGATAATTTGCCCCATTCTACCTTTCCCTTTCTCCTTCTCCTAGTATAATCCTCTCTCACCCCTTAATTTTATTCTCCAGATATGACCCCTTCATCTTCAACTCACCCTGTGCCCTCTATCTATCTATCTATATATAGAGATATATACACATACATATACTTTTTTTCCCTCCAACTACCCTAATACTGACAAAGGTCTCATGAGTTACAAATATCATCTTTCCATGCAGGAATGTAAACAGTTCTACCTTAATAAGTCTCTTATGATTTCTCTGTCCTGTTTACCTCTTCATGTTCCACTTGAGTCTTGTATTGGAAAGTAAAATTTTCTATTCAGTTCTGGTCTTTTCATCCAGAATGCTTGAAAGTCCTCTATTTCACTGAATTACCATTTTTTCCCCAGAAGAATTATACTCAGTTTTGCTGGGTAGGTGATTCTTGGTTGTAATCCTATCTCCTTTGCCCTCCAGAATATTATATTCCATGCCCTGCGGTCCCTTAATGTAGAAGCTGCTAAATCTTGTGTTATCCTGATTGTGTTTCCACAATACTTGAATTGTTTCTTTCTGGCTGCTTGTAGTATTTTCTCCTTTACCTGGGAACTCTGGAATTTGGCTACAATATTCCTAGGAGTTTTCCTTTGGGGATCTCTTTCAGGAGGAGATCAGTGGATTCTTTCAATTTCTATTTCTCCTTCTGGTTCTAAAATATCAGGACAGTTGTCCTTGATCATTTCTTGAAAGATGATGCCTAGGCTCTTTTTTTTATCATGGCTTTCAGATAGTCCAATAATTTTTAAATTCTCTCTCCTGGATCTATTTTCCAGGTCAGTTGTTTTCCAATGAGATATTTCACATTGTTTTCTAATTTTTCAGTCTTTTGGATTTGTTTTACAGTGTCTTGTTTTCTCATAAAGTCACTAGCTTCCAATTGCTCTATTCTAATTTTTAAGGAAGTATTTTCTTTAGTAATCTTTTGGACTTCCTTTTCCATTTGTCCAATTTTGCTCTTTAGGGCATTCTTTTCTTCATTGACTTTTTGGACCTCTTTTGACATTTGGGTTAGGCTATTTTTCAAGGTGTTATTCTCTTCAGTATTTTTTTGGGTCTCCTTTAGCAAGCTGTCAACTTGCTTTTCATGATTTTCTTGCATCACTCTCATTTCTCTTCCCAGTTTTTCCTCTACTTCTCTTACTTGCTTCTCAAAATCCCTTCTGAGCTCTTCCAAGGCCTGGGATTGATTCATATTTTTCTTGGAGGCTTTGGATGTAGGAGCTTTGACTTTGTTGTCTTCTTCTGGTTGTATGTTTTGATCTTCTTTGTCACCAAAGTAAGATAATGTAGTCTGACTCTTTTTGCACTGCTTACTCATGATCCTGGCCAATTATTTGAGTTTTAAACTCTTTGTTAAGGTAAGAGTCTGTTTCCAATGTGGACAATGTACTGTCCCAAGCTGGGGTTTGTACAGCTGTTTTCAGAGATACTTCTAGGGACCTGAAAAGTGTCAGTTCTTCCAAGGTGCTATGATAAGGGGCAAGGTGTTTCCTCTCTACAGTCACAACAAGCTCCACCATGCCAGTGCTCCTCCTCGCCCCAGGACTGCCCCTCAGAACTGTGACCCAGATCCAAGCACAGGCAAAGCAAGAGATTCCTTCCTCAGCACTAGCAAAGAGAACCCTGCAATGCCCCTCTGATCACCCATTCCATTCCCCTTCAGTCTGTGGGCTGGAAGCTCAGAAGGCAGTTGCTTCCCTCTGGGCGGCTGAGAT